TTCTGAGACTAATCATAGTTACTCGTTTATGCATGTATCACATTTGAAATAAGTGTTAGAAGTCTTAGCCAAAAGCCGTTAATTTATGTGTAAATTGAATTTTGAAAGGGCATCAATGCTTCAACTTTTTTCATTGTTTTATGCAATTCTGCTTTGGATTTTTTTTTTTTCCTGATCCTAGAGGAAACTATGAACACAACTGATGAATAAAACACATTATATGCATTAAGGAGAAAATCATTAGCGAATCATGTTTGGCACATGATTATAGGTATGTTTCCATGTCATGAGATTTTTTTAAACTTTTTTTTGTCAAGCAGGTTGCAGAGACATCATTCGAGTCCATAGTCACACTTCTGTTACAGTGCACTGTCCATCAGGACTACGTGAGCGGAGACTGAGTGCAGACCTCGAGTCCCCTCCCCCTGGAGGCATCCTGTCTCTTGGCGGTCTCTGCCTCGGTCTTCTATATGGCATCGACTGTGTTCTTTCGCTCTCCTCTTCACTGTCACTGCTTCCAGATGCATACGCATATGTCTCATCATCTCCTTCCACCTGTTCACCCTCTGGCTGGCTCAATAGAAGCTGGGAGAAAGACTCTTCGACGGATAAGGTAGAGGGAGAAAGTGGACTGGTAGGATGGCGTCCCAAGAGTGTTGGAGGTCTAACAGGGGGAAGGAAAGTAGCATCCCAAAGGATGAGGACTGTGACTGACCTGTAGTGTCTGATCCATCAGCTGAACTGACTCGTTCTGTTGCGACTAAGGAGGCAGCTGGTAAAGCAGAGTTAGGAGCAGGTTCAGGTTCTAACCTGAGTCCTGCGACTCCCTTCTTTGGGATATCTACAACATCCCGTTTCATCTTGCGCCTGCGTCCATGCTCATTCCGGCGATATTGCACCATGTTCTCCAGGTCAGCCACATAAAGAAACCCTGCTATCAGCATCTCTGTGCTCTTCCTGCCCTTTGAGAAGGCCTCTTCCAGCTCGCGGCTTGTCCTCTCATCGTATTGCCACCAGCCATTGCGCCCCTCGTAGTACCAAGCAAAGTCTCCACCAACACCTGTCCCCACACCTCGGCTCGCCCCTGCAGCTGCTGCTTTCAGTTCTTCAGGCGAGAGGAGGACCGGCCGCTCCAGGAAGTCCTCTGGGATTTCTTGTCGGCAGAGAGCGCAGCGCTTACTGTGCCAAGATGCTCCTTTCACACAGAGGAAACAGAAGACATGGCAGCAGGGTAGCTGTACAGGGTGGATGCAGCTCTGCAAGCAGATGGCACATTCAGAGGTGGGGGTGGAACTGGAGGGGGCTGAATCACTAGTATCTCCTACTTCCTCTATCAGCTTGGTTAAAGCGGCTGTATTCACTGAGCAGTCCACTTCTCCACTGCCAGCCATACTACAGGGAGAGAAAAAAACAGCACAACTTATTATCTGGAAACACTTGCATGCACGATTACAAAGCTGTAACTAATATACCTAAATGTAACTTAAACAGACACTATTGTCTATTGTATACATCTATAGGGGGCTCCCACTTGACATGCGCCGCTGTGTTGATAGTTTTGGGAACGCCCTCCTACACACTTGATTGAAAAATGGTTTGTAAATATACACCAGTAAAATAGTTAACATAATAACAGATTAGCACATTTAAGTTTGTGACATGAATGTGCCAACACTGGTGGATTTTGAATTACGTAAAACGAGTTGTTTATAAGGCCAACCACCCTCTGCTAAGCTAACGTAAGCTACCTGCTGAATATGCTCATGACATTACATTTTAAAGTTCACATCACAAGCAGTAACGACAGAACAGTGTTTGTTTTTACATGTCACGCTATACAAAACTTAAAAAAATAATACAAACATACTATTAGACTAATGTAAAGCTGTCAGTCACCTTGCTAAGTTGACAGCTGCTTTGGCATACGGAGTTAGCATATTTAGCTGACAGTGGTTATTGTCATTTAAAGTCTCTATTGTCACTCACCTGATCATTCGGGTGTTGCTAGAAGCGTCTTCCGTTGAAGCGTAGATGAATGTATTTAAAATGCTGCATTTATATCTGGTTATATATTAAAGTATACCAGGTAATGGCTCCGGACCATAGACTGCAAGCTCCGGCCGGACATGACATGACTGACGTCGAAGCACCTGGATAAGCCGCACTCCGTTTCCAATGACACTCCACATGTTTTGTAGATCTACAGCGGAACACAACACGTACCGTGCGTGTGATACTACCAATGTATGACAAATAGCCTATTATTAGGATAGTGCGTTTTAATCTTAATGTGACAATAAAAAGATTATTGTGTAATTTGTTTATTATATACTTTTTTATTAAATACAAAAATAATAATAATTGTGGGACGTATTGAGAGGCCTTCTCCAAGCATCTACTGCATTCTTCTATGTATTAATCTCACTGATTTTACTTAGTTGCAATTTGTTTGGCAGCCAGGTGAGAACAATATGAAAAAAAACATATAGAACACAGGCACATAGAGTCAGACAATAGAAACAACAACATTAAATAACTGTCAATGGACTGAGCAGCACTGCACTCCAAGTACACCTTGTTCGATCTGAAATATATAAAGACTAAAAAAGTATGTTGCCTTAAAAAGTCAACATGTCTACTTAATTCATGGATTTTGTGCTAAAATGTAACTTTTTATGGCTTAAAGAGGATAGTCTGAGAGTTGAGTGTTACAGCAAAGAACCCTGCATGTAGTGGACACAGAAGTAGACAGGATAGGATCTCAACACGCTGATTATCTATGTGGAGTGAAGAAAAGAGGAATTTGGGAGGAGACCCAGTTTGTATTCTGGGAAGAGACTGTTATGGAGAAGCAGAAAATATTCAACATGACAAAAAGAGGACAGAGGGACAGGGGGGTGGAGAGATCTGTGAGAACTGACTAAATTTGTGTAACTTTAAGAACAAATCCTAATACAGTCAACCTCATAACTTCTTTGGGTTATAAATTATTCTTATTACATGCATTTGCTTTGCTATGGCTTCTATACTATTTATTGTCCATGGTTGAAAGTTGTTATTGTATTTTCTGTTGTTTTTAAGGCTGTTTAGTGTGTACAAAACTTTGGAAGATATCTTAATAAGAATGGTGACCTGATGGTGGCCGAAGTTCGACTGTGTGAAAATTAGTAAGCTATCATTTTTAGCGTGTACATTTTTATAAAAAAAAGGTTCATAATAGAAGTCATTGTAATATTCACAAGAGTTTAATTTAAAAAGACCATTTTGGCATGAAAAAAAATTCAGAACAAACTAAGACAGAATGAAAAACACAAAAAGTATATTTCAGAAGGAAAAAAAGGATTATCATAAATAGCAAAAATATTGCTGCTATAACTCATAATTATGTCCATAAAAATCTTGTTGACGCATGTCACGGTCTTCATCCCCTTGCTTTTTTCAGCACTTTCTATAAAGACAAAAAAAACATTTCGGTAAGTTTTTTTGTCCTGACATCAGAAAGACTTCATCACTATTTATTAGTACTATATTAGCTCTCGAGTGTTTTATTGGTTAGTAATAATAAACACTACTGCATGTCATCACAAACTTTCAACAACTTGAATTCTGGAGGTGTTTCTGTTTTTTTTTTTTAAATGATTGGTTAATTTCACTACATGCATTCCTAAATGTTAAGATTTTGTTTGGACTCTACACATGGTAATATTTTGACTATAAATATGTTTATTAAAGGTTCAGCTGCACAACTCGTGTATGCAGGAAAACTGGCAGCAGCACAAAACTAAACATTAAATGTATTGAAAAAACTGAAAGGCAAAAGAAGATTTAAGTGGAAAACTGTAAATTGGATTGTGTGGTGTATAGCAGTCTTTGGTTTTTGAACTGTTAGACGGACAATACAAATGTTTGAAGATGTAAGTTTCTCAGAAGTAATGTTTTAATTTTTAGATATCATACAGACCAAAAGAGTTGTAGGATGAATAACTAACTAAAAATGTATTTTATTTCAGTCGTTTGTGAGCCCTTTACGCCTCGTGTATGTAAGTCTATTAGTGACAATATTGTGTGACTTTGGTAAAATTAAAGAGCAAAGAATTATGTTTGTATAAAAAAAAGACAACGAGGGTGGTTAGACATGTAGTTCAAAGAGTATCCATGATTCACGTCCCACTAAATTGATTGATTGATTGATTAATTAAATTTATTTCAGACAAATAAAATAAAATCAAACATCAAAAATACAAAAACAAAATGAAAAGCACGAAAATACAATAAACAAAAAAACAATGTTCAAATTATTTCACAAAAAAAAGAAAAGAAACTAACACTCACTTTGGAAACTGCTTTGAGATGTTGAGCTCTGATGGTCGCAGATTTTTCTTCAAAAGCTTTGGCCTTCGCCTCCTCCGCCAGGCTGTTCACAAACACCAGCGTTAGGAGCTCAAGCTAGAAAACGAGAAGGTATTTAAATCGGTGTTAAAACGGCCGATAAGTAGCTTCAAACAAAGAAAACACTCAAAATCACAGGAGACATTATAAAGTTATAAAGTCAGCTTCCTACCATCGCCTCTGACGCTGGTCCCACCTTCACGTTACTCTTCATCTTCCCTTTGACAGTATGTTTCAATTTGGGTGCCTTGTTCAGCATTTCGGCTAATTTATTGTGTTAAACAACAACAACAAGCCACTCCACCGAAAGTCTGTTTACGTCTTTCAATCTCCCGCCTCTCTAACTTCCGGTTAAACCGATTCTTCTTCGTGGCATTTACAACGTGAAAATGTTTCCGATACCGCCGCCTGTCGTTTCGACAACTGCGAAAACCAGGTGATTGTGTCGTTTGTAAACCGAGAACAAATTAAAGCTTTTGAGCTTATATATTTTCTTCGACGCAGATATCTAATCGACACAATTAAAAGGGTATTTAAGTGCTCGCAGTGCTTGTTGTTGTTGTTTATACTGCCACCCAGTGTCTACGTCACTGCTGCCACCCAGGCAACACAATGTTTGTATCCGGGTCAGAGGACACAGTAATGGCGGCGACCATGGAGAAAGCAGCCGGCATGAGTAATATGCTGCAGTTTATGAAACTTATCGGACAGCTCAAAGTAAGACTTCTCTAAAGCCTCTTGCTCGTCTTCTGGTTACGTGGTTTCGTGCAAACAAATAGTGTTTAATTAAAGTGATCCCCTTTGGGACAGGCTGTAATGTCTATGAGCTCAACCTCACAGTTAGTTTGACTTTTCATACTTTTTGTTTTTGAAGTGTAATTTAAGTTGGCATTTTGCTTCTTTTTTTTTTTTTAAGTGTATCTCATTATTCTCCTAACACATTGCACACATTGAAGACACTGTTAAAAAAACATCCATAAGCTTGAGAGCAAGAAAGAATAAACCTTCATACTGTCACTGTGAGGAAACAGGAGGGGTCTGTTGTGTTATGTATGTAAGAAGAAGATTTACTTTATTGAATTTCAGTTTTTACATCTGTAGTCATGCAACACACACATAGGCTGAAGTATATAAACACATTCACACAAACAGGATCCTATGGACATGCACTAAGGGAGAGATGTCAGAGTGATGGAGCTGCCCACAGCAGGCGCTCCTGAGCTGGTGGTGGGGAGGGGTTTGGTGCCTTGCTCAGTGGCACCTCTGCAGTGCTCAGGAGGTGATCTGGCACCTCTCCAGCTACCAGACCAACTTCCATACTTGTCTTCCAACCCAAGTCCCTACAGACTGAGCTACTGCTGCCCCATGTAGTGGCTATTTGTCCAAAAAAAAACAACAAAAAAATCTAAATAAACTAATATCAAAAATAATCAAATGACCACCATGGGGGATGTAATGTACGCAGGTAAAAGAAATCCAATGTCCATGCAAGAGCTGCGGTATTTTGCTGGTTTATTTGAGGGAAAAAAAAAAACAAAGAACAAAGAAAATCGTGGCTCCTGCTGCCTCTCTTGATCTGGTAAAAAAAAAAAAAAAAAAAAAAAGGCCCACCCAGGTGCATGCTGGTCCTCTACCTGCCTCTTACTTAAATAATGGTGCCCACAGTATTACCCAAATACCTAACAAAAATACAAAATTTACTAAACAAATAACTAGCAAAAGAGAAAACGTGACTCAAAATCTTTTCTAAATAAAGAAAACATGTAGAATAATTAAATAAACAACACCACCCAAATATTAGTAAACTAAATACAAAAACTAATTCTAACCACAATTAAATAGCTCCAACAATGTACTTTAAGGGTCTGTTCCAGAATAATTGAATAATTACATTAGCAAGTATTTTAATGAAATATTACTTATTAATGATGTAGTTATAGTTATCATTTAGTGAATATGTTTCCTTGACTGGTTCCTAGTTACCTAATGACTTTAGTATTGGTTTATAAAGACACAACACGGGGTAATCTACTGCTCACAGGAACATTTTCTTGTTTCTTGTCTTGTCCGATTAACACAGAATAAACAGAGCCCTCATAATAAGTCGTGAGACAAAGTACATTTAAGGCTAAATGTTTTTTAAATCTTTTTCATTGTTCATGTGTTGGTGTCAACCGTAGAGAGTCCCAAGGACAGGCTGGGTGTACAGGAATGTGAAGAAACCTGAAAGTGTGTCAGACCACATGTACCGCATGGCCATGATGTCTTTGACCATCACAGACCCCACAGTGGACAAGAACAGGTACTTCTTTCTCACAGCGTGAACACACACGTAGACTCAACCCCATAATGAAAATTAATGTATTGTTTAGTATCCACTGACATTAATTACAGACATTGTGCTGATGTCAATTAGAGCACCAAACAGCAACTCATTCCCTACAGCTTAATTTCAGCCCATGTAAAGTAAATAAAAGCATAAATAATGTGTTTATTATGCAGCATAGTGATTTTTTTATTTGACAGAATATTAACTCAAGTTATGCTTATTATTCTTTCTTTAGATGCATAAAGCTGGCTCTGGTTCATGACATGGCTGAGTGCATTGTGGGAGATATTGCTCCATCTGACAACATCAGTAAAGAAGAGAAACACAGACGAGAGGAGGCAGGTGTTTACATTCTACAGCAGACTCTGTCAAGTTTTCTTGAGCCATTATATTTACTAAGTGACCCTGTCATACTGCTTATTATTAAGTATTATTCTTATTAGCCCGACCTAACGATTATACTCGTGTAACATCTCCTCCTCATCTCTGTATCAGGAAGCAATGAGACATCTATCAGGTCTCCTGCCTGAGGGACTCAAACAGGAGATTTATGGACTGTGGGAGGTATGACACTTTAGTATGTACCTTTATGAGTGATCATGCATTCACTATAAAAACAGGGACAAACGTCTGTCTCACCTGCAGGAGTATGAAACCCAGGGCAGTCCAGAGGCCAGGTTGGTGAAAGAGTTTGACCTCCTGGAGATGATCCTGCAGGCTCACGAGTACGAGGAGCTGGAGGGAACGCCGGGTAGACTGCAGGAGTTCTTTGACTCCACCGAGGGTGAGTCTCCACAACGTTTCTGTTAGCTTTTTATAATCAGTCACTCCTTAATTCTCTGTACGAAAATGTATAACACTTTGGGACAGGTTTCTTAAGATTCCCCACTTTTCTTCTTCTTGATATTTATTCCATCTAAAAGTATTGGTTGACATGTGTTGTTATATTTCTTTTCTTTTTGTATTCTCTCTCTCAGGTCGTTTCCAGCACCCAGATGTGCTCGAGCTCCTCAGCTCTTTGAATGCAGAGAGAGAATGCCACATGACCAAAACACATGATGCAAAGACATCACCTTCATCTTCATCAGCCTCTTCCCAGCCAAGTACAACACCACACACCTCCTGATGGCTGACACACACACACACACACACACACACACACACACACACACACACACACACACACACACACACACACACACACACACACACACACACACACACACAGCCAAGGGAATGTTACACCAAAAGTGTGTGTGAACAACAGGTATGCAAAAAAAACGCATCACAGGACACGCCTACTTTTGAGGTGTTGAGGAAGATACCTTGATATTGAACACAGTTTTTATTAGCCCGTCATCCCTCCTGTTTTACCTCAGTGCTTCGCTCCAGTGTTTGTGATGGCATGTTTTAATAAAGCACTTTAGAGGACACTAACTGCATCACTATCCGTATTAAACGCATTGTACTCAGACAACAAATGCAATAAAGTTTCAAAATATTATCATGTAATTTAATATGGTTTGAAAATTAAATAAGACTTTTTTTTATAATCGCATTAGTTGGGAAATCTGCTCCTTTAACTCTTAACAGTTTATTAAACTGCTCATATAGAGAAACTGCTAAAGTATTCCAACATTAATTTGCGTTAACAGGATCCCTTGACAAATGCATTTAGAAACACTGTTTACGTTACTCTACAATACGATTATCCAAAAGAAAAGTGCAGTGTGGTTGGTGATAACAGTATACTTAAGTATACAGCGCTGTTAAAAAACGACACAACAGTTGTCAGATGCGGATGTTCTTTAAAGTACGCTGCAGATTTTTACAGAAACTGTCGTACGTTTGGTTCTTTAACCTTCGTTTTGCATCATTATCAGTAAGAGAGCTTCATGTAATATCAACGTTTGTGTTGATTTAAACAATTTTTAATATCCGTACATTAACCATAGACAGTCGTTTATAATGCTGTGTGATTAGTTGCATACAGGTTTAAAAAAAAAAAAAAACCTTATCTGAATGTAACAAATTATGTTTGAGAAACAAGACAGTGATGCAGAGTTGATTTGAAGTCCAACCCAACACATCTACCAATGTGACACATAATAGACAGAACAAGCATCACCTCAGTTATTTGGTTTTCCTGCTGCTCATCTCTCATCACTGAATAAAAAGACGACCAGGCGGAGTGCAGAAAACATGAAATGATGCGAGGCGTCTCTTCAAACCACAGCAAAGACAACAACATCTTTTAAAACATCTACAACAAACATGAGAAAGTAAAACACCAAAAAGATTATATATATTTCTTAGAACAGAGTGATACTTTGAAAAACATACAAATCTGTGTTTAATATTTAGTGGCACCAACCTTTGAAAAGAAAAGTAGTAAAAACTCATTCTTCAGTATCAAACTAGTTAGTTCAGCACAGGGGTGTTAAAAATCAGGGAAGTGCTTTGGGTCACTTTACTGTGAAGGGTTGAATTACAGCAGTACTGCAGCTACAGTGGGATTTAACATTCATGGTATATACTGTACATTTCATATCAGCTACATGTGATCAATTTAAGATGTTTTTTTTTTTGGTCCATAATGAAACCGGTGTGGTGTTATTAGAGCAGGTGAAAACCTTGTGTGTTATCAGGGTCATGACATGTCAGCATCTGTTGACCTTCAGGATGAGCCTGATGTGTAACAGTTGTTTAGCAGCTGTGTGTTTTTTTTGTTTTTTTTTTAAACATCCAGCAGAGTATTCCATTTGTTAAGTAACAAATCAATTCTCTGTTCTTTGACTTCCCATTTCTACTCTGTCATAAGAAAAACATGAAAAGATGCTCTATCGTTACATTTCAAAATACAACCTGTTTTTGCCCAAACTACACGGCTCATGGCAAGTCTACAGGGTCATTTTCTTTCTACAGACTACTTTATTCTCTAGTAACAATGCACCAACCTAAAATGTGTGCTCAGTTCAATTATGAAATTGAAGAGGGCTCCAACGCAAACTGCCGGCAGCAGAAAATGGGTATATCTGTGTTATATGTATTTTTTACATAGTAAGTAGTATTACAGCAAAAAGAAACTTTTAGATGTCTGAAGAGGATTTCCTGTTTTAGTGTGAAATCATTTGTACATGTTACAGTTTTATCCAGGACTTTAACTTGGATTTTAAGCCATATTTAAACATTTCTTTAGTAAAAAGTAGTACCGGTTTATAGTTAAAACTTTAAAGTGTTGTTTAAAGCAAAAATATATTGCTAAAAAATACCCCCCCCCCGACTTTTTTCCTTCTTGGTATTAAAGTTATGTGTTGATGTTGTAGAGTTTTGAAACTTTAGCATCAGGGAATGGAAGCTGAGTAGAAGTCAGAGCCTTGTATTTTGTGAATTCAAGCTGTGATTTGTCAGCTGAGTTTTCAGCCCCACAAGCTGACTTTGACTTGGCTCATAATCCTCCTGAAATTTCATAAATGTTTACTAAAGGCTTGACTGCTTTCCCCTTAGCCTTCATCTGATCCACACCTGTGGTTCAACATGGTTTGGAGGGCCGTTTGTTTGGTCTTGCCTGCTCATAATAAAAACAATTCTTAAAGCTTTGGGATATTTGGAGTGAATGGTGTCAATTTTCTACCATATACTGGATTTTTTTGTTGTTGCAGAGAAGAAGACTTTTTTTTGTTATCCAATAAAAGTGTGAAATTTCAGCAGGAGCCTTGAGTAGTTAGGTGCTGGGATACAGCATTGGTCAGAGTTCTTGGCTTAAGTCCCGCCTCGTGCTGTTGCTGCAGCTCTAACACGTCTTCTCAGTGCTGTCCGTCAAGGGGCTGGTGGGCGTGTCCTGAGAGCTGGCGTTCGCTGCAGAGGAGAGGACGTCCTCAAAGCTGCCTCCAGACTCTGAACCACCAACCTTTGTCTGTTCAAAAAATGCAAATATATGTATATCAACTCATAGACATGGCATTCCTGCCATGCTGCTGTGCTTCAGAATAGACTCCAGGAGGCAGACTTCCACTATAAAACAACTTTATTAGTTATAACGTTATAGAGGAACTCTTAATTCCTGATATTCAAACAGGAAGTTTCAAAATAAGAGAGAAGTTATCAGCAATTCATTATTTCTCCTTTGTCACAGGTAAAGGAATAAAGGGCTGCTACAGGTACGACTATCTGCACAAGTAGAAGAACAAATTATTTTTTTAAAAGCTTAGTGTAAGAATGTGAGAGAGCAACTACAACCATAATATAACGTTCTGTTCCAGTTGTGACATCTTTCACTTTTAGACGCAGCAAACAGTAGAATTTGAGCCTGGCTTTTCAGTGACTGACTATTCCTCACTATTTCTCTGACAAGGACCAGTACACACAAAGTCATGTGATCTCATTAAAATGTTAAAAAAAACAATATTAATGATGACGATGCATTTTTAACACCTTGAATGAAGTGGTGCTGTGAATTGATTCTAAACAAACTTTCTTTAACACACAAAAACGCACCTTGATAGTGGTCACGGTGTTCTCAACTTTCTCCTCAAAAGACTTGAAGCTGGGAGAATTTCTGCAAACAAAAAAAAAAAGAGAGATTGATTATTTTAGAACAAAAGCATAGACTATCTAGTATCTGTAACAATAATACAGATACAGGCACTGATATCCTCTCCTTTAAAACAGACCATGCTTGCATTTGTCGCATGGCAATGTTTAACCCTTGTTTCTTAAGGATAACCTTTATAAAGAACAGACACTTTATTGTGTATACACATGCATGTGATAAAGAGAACAAAAACAAGGGCGTGGGATATATGCATGCGAAAATACTATTTCAATGACTTGATTTCAATATTTCCACCTTTAAAAATAAACTTAAGATGCTGAAATTCCCTCTATAAATGTCAGTGAAGGAAACATTTACTTTTCTAAAACACACACACTAATGTAACTCCGTATCTGGTTATTGAACAGTGTTGCATTACGTGAACATTGTGTCAGAAATTAGGGAGAAAAAATAGATCATACATGAATAAAACTGACTCTCTCTCTCTCTCTCTCTCACTCACTCACACACAAACACACAAAAGCAAGAAAGCACAGAGTGGTTACCTCATGGCGGGCATGCTCATAGAGTGTCTGATAGAGTAGCTGTCCCCAGAGAGCGTGGTGAGAGAGGAGGTAATGATTAGCACAGAGCATGCACAAAGACACACAAACAGTGAAGAAAAAAAGCCAGCAGAGTTTTAGCCAGACAAGTCGTTCTTTTTTTTTATTGTGATTATTTCTGTGCCTTAAAGGGGATGAAACTGAGATTTTAAAGATATTTCAACTGGTTGAGAGAAGTAGAAAAGTAGCTAACATCTCCAACATCGACACAGACAAAAAGGAGAAAGCATCCTCTGAATCTTCAACAATCTGTTCAGCTCAGTAAACGAGAGCTCAAAATTGAAGACCTCCTAGATTGTAGTAGTTCATGACACCTTTTTCCCATGATTCATTGAGATCATTTCGAACACCAGAAGCTCCACCGTGAAGGTTGCCTTTACTGAACCAGACTGGGCTTACTATGTGAGTATGTACAAACCGGTTTGACCTATCAGCAGATCTGACTCTGATTCACTTCTTTAAGACTCGCAGCCTGAGACGCTTTAACGTACAGGCAGGGAAAGTAATGTGAAATGAGCAGCTGTGTGATTATTCTTACCCTATAGAGTTGGACCTTTGGAAAGCATGGAAAAAGATGGAAACATTTTAGATACTTTAAGAAACAGAAAAAGTCTTTCCAATTCTCTTCAGGTGGAACAGTTAAGTTATTAATATAAACAAATGCTTCATGAAAGAGTTACCTTACGCTGGTAATACAAGCAGTGATGACGACTTGATATCATTTAGGGAAGTAAAGAGACAGCAAACAGCACTTTATCTCACCCATATACAGACATGCAAAATATATACCAAAATATATTTGAAGTACAACGTAAAAATGAAACTTTCTCTCTCTACACGCACAGTTAACGGCACTCCTTCATACATGTTTCCATGGAGATGATAATTACAGAAAATGTTGTCCACCAACAAATGATCTAGCTGATTGAACAAAAAAAAAGTTAGTTGTTGACTGTGGTATGACAGATTCCTAGACCTGGAAATGAGTCCGCAGATCTACACTTTTCAGTCCCCTTGTCTCAAAAACAATGATTTTTTTTAAAGTTAGGGCCGTGGTTATCAAAAGCTGAAGAGATTTTTAGATCTTCTTCTACGACATAAAAACACACCAGTTAAATACCCGACCCTCTGATTCATAAGGCTTTCTTCTTTTAAAAGATGAGGTTTCTCACAGGTAGCTTTATGAAACCACAGAGGTTGTCAGGGATAATCACATTTATCACACCGAACAAGTAACAGTTGTAATCCCAGTGGTGGTGACGCAGCCATACAGTCATGTCATTTTATGGTTAAACTTGAGGGGTTTTTTTTGTTCTTGGGATTGTATTTATGCCTGTGAGGATTATCCCAATGAACAAAACATTTGAGTATCAGAAACTTTTGTTTGTCAGAGAGAGCTTATTTTTTCTGCAATAATCCAAAATCCAATAGAAAATTCCCATGACTTCTTGTCGAGGGAACCAGGGTAATAATAACTGCTTTTTTGAGCAGTCAAAAAAAGGCAAGCTCTTTCACTAAGTAGAATTTCAAATAGAGCAGATCCTGAAGTATGGACTAATTCATAAATAAACTTTGAATCCATGGATTCATGAATCCAGAATAGTTTTGAATCAAAAATCGATTCTGAATCGAATCGTGACCCCAAGAAAATCAAATCAAATTGTCAGACACCCAAAGATTCCCGGCCCTAATGGTAAAGTAGCAATCCAAATAATGAAAAGTTAATAGTTCTTGATGTATCAAATGATACAAAATAGTTTGTTATTTCTAGAAATAAAGTCAGAACATTTGAGAGGTCATCTAGAAATCTGATTAAGAAATACGCATTTTTATTATGGTATTGATCAATATGTTGAGGTATGTTTTGTTTTATACAATAGAAAGTAAATATGTGACGAACAAAAAGTCTAACAGATTGTTCACATGCTGTATCTTTTCAAAATAAAACTATAAAGAAAATGAGTTTGAAAATGGTTAGAAAATTGTACTGATGGGGTAAGAAAGAACATGCAAGAACACACTTGAAACACTTCAAACAAACTTCAGCAAAAAAAAAAAGTACATGCTAAGTGTATGCACTGCATCAATCCTCTGCACACCAGGAGCCTGAAACATACCTCCGAGGGATCAGAAACTCAAGACCAATCATGCTGTAATGACCAAAAATAATCAATTGTTTCCTTTGAGCACTTTATATTCCACCAACACAATATGATGCAATTCAACCAGGACTACCCCTTCCCCCTGTTTGTCTTCTTGCAAAGATTCCTGTGATTGTCATTTGATCAAAGCTGCTAATAAATGTATCAAGTTGTCTTCAGGTGTTTACTCTGATTTAAAAACAGGTGACACTGTCCTTGTCTCTTTCCTCTACACACATGGGGAATGATTTCTTCAACATGCACTGCCACACGTGAACGCACACAGGCCCACGTTCTCTCTCTCTCTCTTTCTTTCTCTCTCTCTCTCTCTTGCTACCATACACACATGATGCTCTATTTATTTCCGTGCATAACAACGCTAACGCTGTCTGGCACACTTTGTTCTGAATTTCAGCGTCTCAAACAGAGCGACCAGGGAGAGACAGAAAAGCAAAGAGACAAAGCGAGAGAAAGATTTGCCTCTGGCCCTTCAGCTCCCACAGAAAGCAGCTTAATGTGAGTTTACGTAATCTCAACTTCCCCTGAGCTGGATAGAGCAAGAGTCAAAATCTGCCTCAAAATCTCTCTGTGAGGGATGGGGATGGAAAGCACAAGAAAAGTGCCTGTGAATATGATCGACGTGGAACTAGTGCTGAAGGCTGGGCTTTGAAAGTTTGCAACCAAACTCAGCGTGCGACTTGCGTCCCAACATCTATACATCACAGGTCAACACAGATAGCATTCCCTAGATAAGAAGAAATGAGGTTATTGTTTACCTCATGTCTCCAAACTTTCTGGTGATGGCGCTGCCCAGTGTGCTGAAGGCTGCTGAGGTTTTCTGCCCTGCTGTGGACAGTGTCTCTGACGTCTTCTTATAGCTGAAACACAAAGAGGGTACATTGAAAACGTTAAAAAGAGTCCTGTAAGTTTCCTTTATCTGGATCAGAACAGCAAAAACAACAACGGACGCGCTTCATCAGCGTTCTGGAAAACGTTTCCTACATGCAAACTTGCACTCAACTCTGCGCCTAAACAAACACGGTTATCTCTCATGTACAATACATATGACAAAAAAGCGAAGAAACATAAGAGAGATAACTGCTCAATAAACAAATGTCATCAAATCAAAGTGGGGGATCTGGCCGGCCATCACTGCTTTTTAATGTTGTTGTTTTTTTTAGAAATGAACAGAAATAAAAGTCAGATAAATTGTTCTGAAATAATTTGTCTATATAGTGTCTTTACTCTCACTAACTCTGTTGTTTTTTGGGGGGTTTCATTTTCATTTTGAACCCCTCCTCTTAACCTACAAACCCTTTTTCCTTCTAGATTACATTTGTACTCTTAATGTGAGCGTGTGATGAAAGTAGGAGGGGGTTTAGATTTGATTAGAGATGGGACAGATCTGATCTATTATCAGTATCAGGTCTGATATTGACGTCATTTATGTAACGGATATCATAATAATGATATAATCCTCTCCATTAAGACGAGATGGAACAGCTCCTTCTATGTGATCAAAAGTACAACTCTTAACATTCAGTTTAAAATGTTTAATTTGAAAACCTGACAGTTGTTGCTGCTTCCTGTTCATATGTGAAACCAGAACTAAGTTCAAATAAATGTATTTGTAATATTTTGAATTCTGATGCATTTCTAATTATTATGATTATTGTTTTTGCTTTCTCATTAAGAAATTCAATGCCGTGTTTACTACAGCTTTGTGTAACCTTACACATAATACCAACACCATTAATAAGTAATATTAAAGAAATATCGTAATCAGTATCAGTACATATCTGAATTTTTTTAAAAGTGGATCGGTAAAATCAGGAAATGACTTAAAACCACAAATAAAAAGTATGATAATAGATGTAGATAAAAAAAAAAATACTTCCCTACTGTAGACAGTGCTGAGAGTATCGTATAGTATTTGGTTGAAAAATACGTTCTTAAGCACAGGATGACCTCATTTCTAAATCACCCTGCGCATTGTTCACTGCATGATATGTTGCTTTAAAAAGGGTTTTTTATTGGCCCATATAAAAAACAGTATAAACTGAAACAGCATTTCTGCCTATTATATGGTCAAATCTATATATCATTGGCAATCTAGTCATGACCAGTTGACCCACTTTATATACTGGTTAACATCACCTTAATGCTTCTGATCACTCTTAATATCGATCATAGATTTTCAATGTACATTTTAGCTTGATTCATGTTTTTTCCCGGGTTTCACATTCGTGTCATGGATTCCACATCATCAGCTAGTTTTTCCCGAGATCTAGTTCATAATAGATGAGGAGGGCCAGTGTTTGTAAAGTGATCTTCAGGTTGAAGTGTAACTGGATAAGACTGGAGGCCTTTTGAGACGATTGCTTTGCTCCTCTCTGTCTCTTGGTGTCTGAGTTAGAGCTCCCAGCTTGTGGTCCAATGAGGATATGAGGTTATTTCTCTGCATGCTGAAAAAGATAGCTCTATGATCAGAAAATATCCTAATTTGGAGGAGCGTCGCAGAGCATTATAAGAGTAGTGTACAAGTTATATAATCATAATAGTCTGGAAATATTGTAGGATATTATTATCATGTCAATGGGAGAGGAGGATGGATTTGATTGGCATGAATTGGATGCACTATTGTGATTTTCAGTAACTAAGCAGGACTTAGTGAGGTCAGTGATTGCCTTTGGCCCTGAGTAGCCTCTTGATTTGTTTTTAATCTGGTTTGTATCTGAGCAAAACAAAGATAACAAACATGCAGCACAGCTAAGAGCAAAACAGGATTATGTCTTTTTAATTGGGTTTTTGATATCTGTGTGTATAACAGACACTCAGTGTGAGAAAGTATCTTTACGCTGTTTTACCTGCTCTCCGTGTGCATGTGTGTCTTTTTTGTGTTTGGTTAAAGGGCATCTATGTTGACAGCAAATAGAGGATAATAATCTCCTTTTACACTTACGCCGTAGAGGTCTGCATGTCTTGCCAGCCTCTGCTCAAGTTGTTTTTCATCTCGCTCAGCGGATTGATGCCCAGTTTCTGTTTGAGCTCTGCATGCTGCTTCTCTTTGGACGACAAAACCTGCCTCAGTGTGCTGATCTCCTCTTCCAGCTGGAAAACATCAAGACAAAGAGCTTTAAAAGACATCCTTCCTCTTGCTGCTTTATTTCGACTTCTTGTTCTCATTAAATGGTCGAAACATGTTCAACGTACTTTAGCTAGTTCTTGCTGAATCTCCTCTCTCTCCTCATCTGTGATGATGGAGTTGTTTAAGTTGACTTCAGAGACTAAATCTTCATCAGCCTCTCTCAGTGGATCTGAGTCCAGATATCCTGAAGGAAACACACAAACACACAAATGATGAAAACTTCATTTAAACCTCTATCTGAGATATAAAGAAACAAAGGAATGATGATACTGATAAGATTATGATGCCTATATCTCTAAAGTGTATCTGTCATTTTTCCTTTTTTATAGTCGTGTCTCTATGTCTGACTCCACATATGTCTGTCTGTGTATGCCTGATGGGCTCTGTCTCAGTGTTATGTAATCTGTGGCTGCAGGCCGTGGAGCTATAATCTGGATTTACTGACATGGATTATCTTGCTTTAACACAGCTAACCATCACTACAGACTGTGCCTCGCACACACAAACAAACAAGATGCTGTTTGTCAGAACAGAATGAATATAAAGTTAAATTCAATATGTCACACAAAATATATAATGAAGAACGAATGTAGGCATCAACCTTTCTGTAAACCTTTGTAGGAAAAATATGATTTACCGTCCTTCTTGCCTCTCACAGAAACATCTTAAAACAAAACTTCCACACTGTACTTACCTCTGAAAACAGAACTGCGTCCTATACACAAAATCATACTGCTCATATGCATCAGCTGACTCTTATGATGCAGCAGACATATTTTAAAAGCCGTAATTAAGTTTCAAGATTTTGCATTTGTTTCTGCATAGCTGAGAATTATTTGAAAGATGACACAAACTGATTAAAATCAGTATATGTATTTGCAAGAGTTTTTTTTAAAATAGCGGGATATGTGAGCCAACATAACAAAAACAAACAAAAAAAACATGGTGAAAAACAAAATAATAAACACAAACTTACACAATGCATACAGATAGATGATTCACATCAACAGCAAACAGCAGGATGAACCATGGAAGTAAGCTAATGTAGTCTATGGTGTCATTGTGTTGTTGGTAGACCTTGGTTAATGATTCGGTATGTAACTGTTTACACAATGGTGATGAATGTAAATGAAAGGATTAGGCCTACTGTACCTGCTGCGAGACGTCCCCTCTCTTAATGTGGAAGCATTATAAAACAGATCAGGACAGAGAAAAGTCAGTGAAAACTGGGAAGAAAACAGACATATTGTCCACTCACCAAAGAAGACACTCAAATAAAACTCAGTTCACATCTAAATGCTTCAAAATCGAAAGTTAGAGGGGGCTCAGCAACACATGCAGAAAACACACACAAGTATACAAGTATAGCTAACAGCAAAACAAACTAAAGCACAGCATGAACCAGGCAGGCCTTTCTATAGCTAGAAGCTATTTCTGACTACATCACACAGCAGCAGGACAATTAGATATTAAAACCCCTTTGGCTCAGTTGGAAGCTTTCATAACTGTCTAAGTGCAAGGGGAGTCTCCGACCAAATCCTTTCTTTGGCTCACAAAGCCTCAAGAAGATCTCTAAAATGCCAGCATGAGCACAAGAATAATTCCTACCGGTCATAAGTCCTTGTTAATTTACATGCTATAGCAAGCTAGGTTCCCTTTGAGCTAATACTGTTTATTTTATAGGCCGACTTTTATTAATTCAGTTAATGAAGTTGTTTATATAGCTAAAAGAGGTGTCTGTGTTAGCTAACACAGGTTTCCTTCAAGCTGACACAGGTTTCTTTTAGCCATCTTTACAGCTAACTGGATTTCCTTTCTGCTGCCGCAGGTTTCTTTAACATTTTATTTAAGGGGTGGTTTTATAACATAGTTGTTTTTCTAGTAAAGAGGTGTTTTAATTGATAACTGGGTTTCTTTTAGCTACTCAGGATTCTTTATATCATGATTCCTTTGTAGATACCACTGTTTTTTTTAAGCTAAAAGTGGTTTATTTATTGATAACACAAATTCCGTTCTAGCTAACGCAGGTTTGTTTTAGCAATTGTATTTTTTTCAAGCTAATGCTGCTTCCTTTCCACAAGCTGTGTCTTTGTGAGAAAGGAGTTTCTATTCTGTGTCTGACGGATGTATAAGAAATGTTTGTGAGAGTCACACAGTCATTATGGAAACAAAACGCACAGTGTTCAAGTGAATCTTACATTATTAATATCAATGGATCTGCTCTGCAATTTTTACGAGATCTTCTTCTTTAAAATGACAGCAAAAATAAGTGTTTGCTCCAAAAGACTGTCCTTGTCATTTGTAATATAATACATTGCTGAAGCATTTTCCCCGTCTGCTGGTATGTGAAGAATGCTGAAACTTCATGATCTCAGTCATGGGTCACAGCATGAAATCAGTTAGATACAAAGTAAGCTTTGGTTCTGAGAACAACTTATCAAATATTGGCACTATGTCAAAACTACGACGTACTGCTCTCTATTAGATGGAGAGGGTTGATGTTGTGACTTTGGTTAGTTTTTTAAAGCAATGTCAACAGACATCTTGCAAAATGCTGGTAAATTATTATTTCAAGAACAGTTTTATTTTTTGTTAGTGTATTTATTATTTATCAAAGGATTTGCCATTTACATTGCCTCAAAATGTACCTTTGTTCATTACCTAAGTACCCCTTGCTCACAATGTTGTAGGAACTATGACTGAACATTTGTTAAGGCAATTTGACTTTGGTTGAACAGTCAACATAATCAAACAGCAACAGTCGATAAATGATATTTGTAAACACCACAACGAAATTATTGGACTTATTTCATGTACTTAGTTTATTTGATAAAAGTTTATTTAAATCTCAGATGAGGCAAAGCCTGTATGTTGCTATGAAGAACATTTCCAACAGAAACTAATTTATACTTTTCAGCTGCTGTGATTATTTTTACAACTAAGAAGAAAAGGCTTGCTGTGTATTTTATCGTTTATGCCATAGTCAATAGAAAGTAATGTCATACACCACACTTTGCCCTAAACCTATCAAGTCTCAAAAATCCTCTTATCGTGTGGATTTGTTGATGTTTTCTATATTTAATTCTTTAATTGAGTTTTTGTTAGTTCCATTTCCGCCCAGCACACATTGGTTTAAAGCCCAATCCAAACTTAATCTGTTTTTACTTGTATTGGTTGCCCCATGTACAAAGAAAAAGTCTCACAATACCCCAATTTATCAATTGGATTTAGTTTCTGTAAAAAGCTATTGCCCAAGATTACCAGACAAAACACAAATCAGTTGACCTCTGTGTCCTCAGAGGGAGCTGTAAGCTGTAAACCTGTGCAGGCTCGAGGTCAGGGGTAGTAAATGTTCAACCAAAGTGAAATATCTTCTACTCTATAGTCTACATCCCTCTTCACCTTTGTCTTCCAGTTGCATATCCCAAGAGGTAGACATGACGCAGTTGGCCTGCGACTGTGATGTCTGACCCCAGGGATTATACTCTTGACAACTTGTACTGCTTTCTGCGAGATTTTTCCCATTTTGGGCCACTGGAGCAAAGTCTTCACAGTATGACTTCTCTTTCACAGATTCTTCGTCAATCCGGGAAAACAAACCCTCATTCAAACCTGAACAAAGTTACAGTCTGTTACAGTTTCAATATCTTAGATTAAACAAAGAATGATAGCTTTGTCTTATGTTTCAGATGATTACCTGTTAAGTTATATTTTACCTAACAAAGGATGTATCCCTTACCAGAATAAAGGGCTAGTTAGTGGTGTTTAATGATGTCATTACCAGGGAATCATTTCTTACTGGGGAAATTATTGTCCACTCGCGCAGTTGCGTCTTAATTTTTGTCCATCTCTTAATAAATGCTAGTATGCAGGACATTGTGTATCGATAAAAGACTGCACAAAAGTCGGTGTTACATCTTTTTAAAGGGAAGTAGGGGGTGACTCCAGCGCTTAAGAAAAAAAAAAGGCTGATTTATGGAACAAGATAAATAAGATGACTTTAGTTCAGAAGTTGCTACCATGGCAATTAGTTAACCAAGATAGGGAAATACTTTAGCAAAGAGTAGGCCTATCTGCGCCAGTGAACAATCATGGTCACCTCAGCTTCACCAAAAAGCAAGATGGTGATGGCCAAAATCTCAATGCTTTAAAACAAGTGTCCACATACAAAGTAGTGACGTCCCAAAACAAATGGTCTGGATTCTGTTCAGACACACGTTATAATTGCTCTCTTAAAGAGGCTGGAGTCACAACTGTCATACCAGCAACTAGTTAGGAGCCAAGGAACAAAAGCATCTAATGGCAAAGAAGGCCAATGAGCACAAATATAACCAACAACATATTTTGATTGTGATTTCTATAATCATATTAGTACCAATAGGCCTACATCCAGCTTCATACTTGAATTGATTTTCTTTTGAGTCAAGCGAAACATGAAAATGTGTCTCTATTCTCTTTAGTTTTAAGGACATAAATTTGGACTCTGAGAAATTGTGATGACAATTGAAACAAACGTTTTGTTATTCAAAAGTGCTCTGATCTAAGCCTTGCTGTCTTCCAGGTCGTAAATTAAATGTAAGTGCTCAGATAGAACTCATCAACCTTCTGGTAATAATCTGATTCTAACAGGGATACAAACTGCTGCCTCACTCATCTCGATAAAAAAGTCCTTTAAACCTAATACCATTTTCTCCAATAATTCAAGTCAGTGATGTCAGAGAGCAAAACGCACACACTTTGACGTCACTTCCTCTGATCTGATTTTACACCCCGTGATTCAGTGTGGATTGATGTTTTATTCTAATCTGGGAGAGTTGAGTCTTACCCTGCTCTCCCTCGTGTGTGGATGAGTTAACCCATTCCTCTCCGGGACCCATGCTGCCCCAGTCCACCACTGCTTCGCTCAGAACACTAGAGTACAACTCTGCAGCGGAGCAAGGCAGCAGGGTGAGAGGAGACAAGAGAACTGGTTATATACACACAGAGACACACACTGTGGTGTTTCTCCCATGTCCATCCAGGCTCGGTCAGTAACTTGACAGCGAGGTCTGTTCCATTACTGAGCAGTTAACAGTTTATTTGATTCTGCGTTTGCACAGGAACAGGAAGTCTGACTTTTGACCCTTTGTGGCATAGATTTAAATTCTTTGAGCTGTTAAAACAGGATTCACCCGATTCTTACCATACACAATATCGTCCTGGGAAGCAGAACTATGCCTAACAGAGTTAACAATGAGATCTTATGCAAGGTGGTTATTGAGCAACGTGAGTACTCTGGTTGCTGATGAAATCTCTTATAATTCCAGTAGTGCAAGAGGAAGCAGAGTGTTGTTTCACTAACAGTGATTTCCTTCTAGTGTCATTTTTTGATCCACTGGTAAGAGGCTAAACGAAAGAAAAGGTCAGTGTTCAACAAAAAACATGAAGGGTGGATGACATAACAATTCAACCATCAAGTTAACATAACATGTTTCACAGAAGCAGATTCAATGGGCTACATTTAGCAGTATGCTCAAAACTTAATGTGGCTGATTGCTAAAACAAAAAGAAGTTAAAGCATCTTAACGTAGCCTCTTTTAAACCAGTCTGATGTTTTTCATGGGCAGTTTGCTGTTCATCAACAAAAAATAGTATTTAATAAATATACATTTTAACTATCCTTCTCTTTACTCTCTCTTATTTCTGTTTCCTCCCCCCTTCCCTTTTGCCTGTGGATGAATACCTCTGGTCACAAGACTCCCATTTGGCCCACTGGTCATGTGGCTATGCTAAATCAGAGGCCTGGGGATGGTCATATGGCTGCAAAATCAATTGAAGCTGAACTCGGGGCCAAGTTGCCTTCAGTTCTGTCAAACAGCGGTATATGACTGACCCTTTTTCATGCCCAAGATTCAACTAGCTAATTACAGCAGCATTGTCATGGGAAAGTTTAAAGAACATATACTAAAATTCTCCTATTAGTGTAATAGATTAGAAACCTTTTGGGTGCTTTATGAGCCAATAACTCAATCATAAATACTAATTTCCATGCGGAGCTAGTTTCATGGAAAAGACCTGCTGACCCTCAGTTAACCAAAGGCAAACATTCAGACCTGGAATGCAAAGGCATGTAATGAAGTACCTGCATGAATAAACAGTACCTCCATCCCACTCACTGCACTGATGTGGGAGTCATTGCACTCCTCGACTATGTCATGCCTCATTTTGCACACTGTCCGTAAACAAAGGATGAATCACAGAGAGATTGCATCTGAATGTTTAAAAGTAGAACTAAATGTGAAAAGGTTACAGTTTAATGAAAATGATGGCATCTGTTCTAAGATTTCTAAAGAATTGATATTAGCACTCTTGTATTTTGGGGTTTAAGACTACACTCTTTAGTTTAAAGCTTGGTTCACAGTAACTGAATCTACCTGATGGTTAACAGGAACACATTTCAGAGATCAGAGATCAACTGAGCATAGCACTGGTTTGAAACACCCAAAATAAGTGAACCTCATGCATCAGACCACCAGTCAGGAAACAGCATCCTACTGAAGGACTTAGTTCTGTCTGAAATTGCTCTGATGTCTTGAGAAAACAATAAAACAAACCTACAGAGCACCTGCCAACTGTGCTCCATGATGCTTCATTTCTGCATGCTTGTGGCATAGTAAATCTTGTCAGTTAGATCACTGGAAAAAGCACGTTTTTTTAAAGAAAAAGCAAAGGAAAAAAGAAAAATTGAAGCATTGTGCTGCACAAGAAATTGCACAGTAGCCTCAGTTACATATATGCACAACACAACTCATTGATAAGTAAATCAATTGTATTTAGTGAAGTGTTAGCACTCCAGAATTGCACAGTAGGTCACAAGGCCTGCAGATATTTAATTTTCCATGTAAGAAAATACATTTTGTTTTCTGTTTCTTTCACCTCAGAGCAGTGACGTATGCACTCAGCCTTCATTCAAGTTCAGCTCATTATCAGATCAACTGCCGACAACCAAACCACTGTGCATCACTTCTGTTTGAAGAATAAAAGTCCTGTTTTTAACATTAACCGACACCAACTCACCTTGTTGTCTGGTCTCCATCAGTTACAGCCAGGTGAACTTCCCAAATAACCTCCTGAGACAGCACGCGCAGCACCAGGTCTTCAGGTCAGTGTGTACCATAGGTGTGTACTCGGGTTTCCTAGGCTGTCACGCGCCGGGCCAGCTCTCAGGCGGAGCCTCGAGCTCGAGCCAATGGGCTCGCGCTGTTGTAATTTGCTTAATTCACAAACCGGACATAGATCCTGGCTGTTATCTGCGCTCATTGGACACGACAGAATACTTTTCGAGTAACAAATCATTTATAAACACAGGAATGACTACGTGTCAGCCCTGGGAAAAGTGTTTTGATTCTTTTAGAGGAAAAACCTCAACACAAAAACCTTGAGCACCTCTATGTTTTACTTTTGTACAGTTGCCTACTTTAGTTTTTACATTTCTCATTTGTTTCTCTAAAAACCCTTGTGCAATGCCTTTAATTGTATTGATGCACTCCTTAACATAAAAAACAACTAATACCACTATTACTGTTTACAACAAGACAATTACTATGAAGAGATTTAGTAATTTCTAAAATTGGCATATTAAGAGCTTTTTTGTATTAAGTAATCCCCATAATTATAGTTCATCATGAGGTATTTATTTTTTCTTGGATCGTGACTATAATGTGCTGAATCACATAAGCTAGATCTTCTTCAACATCATATAGGGGTGAGCCTCCCGCAGTGCACTTCTGACCCCTGCTGACATAAAACTGCAGTCACAACTTGAGCATTTGCAGATGTTGCTGCAACAGACAAGTACCATGGACCAATAGACATTCTCAAATCTATCAGAAAATATAGGTAAATGATCTCGAACAACGCTTACTTTTCTAATACATAAATAAAACACATGACATTTTAGCATTTGACCCAGTGTAGTTTATTCTTCATCAGATGTTCAAATGAAAACAGCATTTGTGCCTGTCAGAGTGAGTAAGAAAAGCTTCAGCAGACATGTAGAACAACCTTGAAAACAAAGTGTTTTGCTGACTAACATGTTGCATTAGTATGTCTATATGGGGGAAAAAAACCTGTCCTGATGTTGCTGATAAGCACCATTAAATACAAAACATATATATTTATAATACATGCCTCCTGAGTTGAAACTAATCTTGATGTATTGTTCTTATTCAGACATTACATTTGTTGAAAATAAAGTCGTTTTTTATTAGTTATTATCACTGTCTTGACAGAGTGTGTCAGTGCATAACAAATGTATGACTTTTATTCAGTGTTGGAAACAGAGCTCGCTGTGCTAGTGCTTGCAAATTTTGCTCTAAAGGGTCCAAAGTATGATGTTAGTGTGAGCCAAAATAAAGTGACAGTTTAACTTGTGCAAAAGTCCAAGAGTATTTGTGTTGGAGTTGACACCCTGTATTAATGAACCTGTGAAACTTTAGAAGTTTGGTTTCATCTTAGTGTTAGTGAAAAGTGTGATTGCGCTGCACATTGCCCTGTGTGTTAGGATAACATGCATATATTCTTTTAACACTTATTCATATTAGTGTTTTTTACATCAGAAGCCCAATTGCAGGTTAATATATATTTATGCTTTAGCTGTTATCTCACATTACCTCTGTGAAACATTTTACCCATTTGTAATTTTGGGAGTCACTAAAGGGTCCTTGACTTCATGTTGGCAAACTCTGATCTATAATGGTTGTGAAGGCACTTTTGCATACTTATGCCAATATAACAATAATGGGATTGTTACACAAACAAAAAAAAAAAAGCCAAGGGTATGAGCCAGCCAATACACCCCAGCAAAGGAAAAACCATTGGCCACTATAACTCTCAAACAGCCAGTCACTTAGTGTTCAGATAAATGTCAGCATTAAGTCAGTAGTGTTCACAAATACAACCAAACAAAATCCAAATGATTGGCATTTCCACATGGCATTTTAACATTGAATCATCCGGGAGATTTCTTCATGAAATATAGAAGGAGAGTAAAAGAAATGAGACATGAGGGGCTGTCCAGGCTAAATACTCTGCTGTTACAAAAACTGTATTTTTTGCATTTGTTCTGCTGCTGAGTACAGATTGAGGTGTGAAATTATAATCTGACAGTAAAATTACCAGATAAAATGTGACTATAGCCTCTGCATTCGTTCCAGCAACCAGCAGGGGGCAACTGCACTGGTTGAAGAAAAAAGAAACGCCTGATTGCATGAAGATGAGAAGAGTTTTTGTTTTACCTTTTTTTTTTTTTTTTACTAGTTTATGGAGTCTTGAGTCCTCTACCACATGTCATTATGTTCATCTTATAAATAAAGTCCCATTAAGTGTAAAATAGGAGATAAAGCAAGCTTTTTAAAGACATGGCTTGAGTGTTATTGACATGTTCCCTCCACAGTGTCATTCCAACCAGCATAGACATGTAGCAGTGCTCATTAGAAATCTTCCAAATATGACCACTTCAAACAACAAAACAAAAACTAAAGAAAAACAATGATGGCAACATTCACGATACAGAAATTGAAGCTTCTGAAAGGTTGGATACTGTGTCTAAATAAATATCTAGATATTGTATCCGTTATAAAGGTGCAAGTCTGTTCATTTCTGTTTTTGAACTTATTGACAGGCTCATCAGTAAAACACTGTAAGCTGAAGGGGAACTGTTTAAAGTGATTTCACTCTGCTGATTCATAAAGACAGGTTAGAGTTGGAATATCTCCACCAGCCAGTCATTTCATTAACCAAAAAAAAGAAAGAAAGAGCAGCGATTCAACATGTCAGTGTAGCACTATCTTAGCAGTTAGATTAAACATGTGCACATGATGCAAGTGAACAATTGTTAAGTAGCTTCAACATTTCAATTGGCGATTTAATGAAGACATTAAATGACCCAGTGATGACTGACTTATGCATATCTACGTGTTATCCTCTCCACATTTAACTCCAGACTAGCCCACCCTTCCGAGCCACGCTGCGAAACACACACAGGGTTTGCATCACTGAGATTTTTTGGATCTCTTTGACATTTCACTGTTTGAAACTCCCTGCCTTTAAATAAGGTTGCTGAGCAGTTCTTGGCATCAGAAAGAGATTCAGTGATTCAGGCTCTGAGTACAGCAGAGAGCAAAGAAAACTCCCTGAGAGTGGATTCAAACCCAGAGTCGGGACAGACTGAACGCAGTGTGTTACAACATATGGTCTGTGGTCTTCAGGAAAAGTTGGTGTTAATTGATTCCCAGGTGTAAAAAAAAAGGTTTTGGATCCCTTGAACAAAGCCAAGTTGTAGCGTTGCGCAGCAAAATGTCCACCATGCATGAACTGCAACCCTGCTTTTCCTCCATGCTTTAAATCCTGGTTTTAGTTCAGATTCAGTGGAGACATCTCTCCTGAAATAATTATTATTTGCATCATTCCATATTTTTTCTCATCTTGGGGGCAGGTTTATTGTGCTCATTCTTGTCTTGATGTCTGTTTTCTTTAAGTCTCCAAGTTAATTAACCTCACATGATGGGGAGATAAAAAAAAAAAAAAGCAACTGGTTAGAAATCCATTTGTACATGACTGATGTTCTTTTTAACATCAGCATTGGGTGATCTCTGCATCCAAACAGCATCCCCATGTGGTAGTGCGCTCATTTCAAATGTAAGGACAAACAGCAGGAAGGACGGGACGGAGGGAGAAGTGGAGGACAGACAGCGAGCTGGCAGCTGCTGCCAGGTGACGACCTTTAAAGCTCTTGAAAATCTCCTGTTTCCTGGCAGCCCTCCACGTGTGTGCTTTTTGCTGTATGTGACAGTGTCAATGAGCTAATAAGGTGTTTGTGTGCATTAAAAACTATACGTCAGAAGTCCTCTCATCACTGCAAAATTAAGACACAAACTCTGCGTTGTGTCCTGAAATCCAGATCACATAAAAGTTAAGATCCAGACTGAGCCCACCGCACATTCAGAGCACTGCAGCCTGATGATGACTTCTGACCACAAATCTTAAAATGAAGCTCTTCAGTAAACCACCACCCAGTCCAAATTAAGTGTACATCTAAAATACTGTATTTTTTTCTACTTGTAGCAGTTGCAATAGCATGTTCATCCAGTTTAATTCTAATGGTTTGCATCCACATTTGAACTATGTAATGCATATTATTCCTACAAGCCTCTAAGTCCATTTCTTCATGCAGACTTTAGCACATGATGTCAGCATCACACCCCACACCTCTGAAACTAAAACAACCTCTCCACCAGGCAACCCCACCCCCACCCCCAAAATAAGAATAACAAAAAAAGATCTAACAAAGGGATAGGTCAGTCCTGCAACATTCAGCAATTTGTTTTGGCACAGTTGCCGCCCAGCAGCTCAGCTTTTTTTTTTTGCTTTTTTTGATGATGCAGACAATGGCAAACAGTAAGCGGTATGTGGGCACAGCAGAGACAACATGATATGATAGGGAGTTTGTTAGCCCTCATCCACCCAGCCCTGACAGGCAGAGAGCAGGGCAAAGGGTAGTGAGATCAACAGGGGCAGAAAGGAGGAAAATTCTCTAAAACAATGGAGGCTTGTTTAAAATTCCACTTTGCTTTCCAGGATTTCTCGAAGGAGCCAGTCGGGTTCCTGTGTGTTTGCAAACAGAACGCCTTTTTGATGAGTAGATGGATGGTGAAAAAACAAATTGTCCAGCTATGTTGAACGTGTGAAAACTCAGTGTTTTACATCATGGCTTGTTCCAAATTCAGTTTCCATTTTGCAATTTTTTTCTCGCCAGCTGCAGCAAATATAGAGAGAAAAAAATATTGCAAAAAGTTCAATATAAGGAAAAATTATTTCTCTTGTTTCTGTCTCTCTCTCTTTTATAAATCTGTGCGCTCCTCCTGTTCTCCTTATGCTCCAGCAGTCAGTGTTCATATTTCCAGGACCTGACAATCACACATTTGGTGTCAATCATGGCAGGTTTACCCGTGAGCTCCAAAGTTTTCTCTTATGTCTTTAGTGCCGGTGTAAACAAAACTGTGTCTGTGTGTCACCTCTGTTTTCTCTCTTGAAGGATTGCTGTTGTTAAATAGGTGATGTTTGAGAGAAAATCTGCCTGAAATAACTGTCAGCTGTATGATTTTTTTTTTTTCATCCTTTATCTGCTTGAGAATCCACTCTTGACATTATGACGTGCGATTATCCAGGCATCACTCCAGCGGTTCACGTACTTGACTAATTGCAGTTGCTCATGTTGCGAGGACTCAGGCTGGCGTGTTCATCCCTGAGGAGATGTGGGCGTCGTCTTTTTTTTTTTATTTAATTTTATTTTTTTCAGCTGTGTGTTGGTGTGTGCATGGTCTGGAGAAAGTGCAGGGCAGGTTTCAGATCCAGCGTCCTGAGCCCTGAGTGCGCTGCTTCTTCCTCCTCTTACAGACGTAGTAGACCGGGAAAACGATCAACCCTGCACACAGAGAGGGAGATTGAAGAAACAAAAGGCACAAAAAAAAGACCAAAGCAAACTATGAAAATTCATAAATGTACAATAATAATCTTAAACTGTGTGAGTTTTCGTTATGGATTTGATTCAGTCACCCCTTCCTAATGCACACTGCAAACAAATTTGGTCTTTGTGAAATTAATTGAGCTGAAAAAAAAAGAAAGAAAAAAGACAACTGCAGAAGGACAGCAGCACAACGCTGATTCTATTAGCGATGAAAATAAATATGAATCTCCCATCACGGCATGTTAGCCCGCAGCGGATCATCTGTCAGTCGTACAGACACGGGAAAGAGATTAACACTAATTACAGTTCAGCTCAGGCCTCAATGCTTCATAATACTGTTTCACTGAGTGCAAACAGAGTGCAGCTGGATGATATTACCAGTAAATGCAGTTTCAGTATCACACAGCCATTATCTCGGTCTAAAGCTTTGGCATTTTAAAAACAAAAACAGTCCCTTTGCGCAAATTGTATTCATGCATGTTAATTTAAAAGTGAATTTTGTAGCATGATTGTGTTGGTTCGTTTTTTATACACTGTTCATTGCTGTATGAAAGAAAAGATCAGTAAACTCACCACCACCAAAATCGCTGTTATCTGTTTACTGCTCTCTCTGCAGCAGCTTCTCCCTAACTAATGTGAATGAGTTTCCATGCATATCATTATTTTACCTATCACCAGTGCGAGAGCTCCGAGCACCACGACCAGCAGGATGACCACTGGAGCTATCAGCACCTTAGTGGCTGCACAGGGGAAACAGAGAAAAGGAGAGAGGATCATGATGAATAAATGGAATTACATGAATCAAGATCAATATGCTGTTAGTTTTCTTTAGATTTCAATGCGTGCCTGCAGAAAAAGATTTGATTGTTTGGCAACCAGGGCAGTAATGTGATGTAGATGTAGGCTGTGATGGAGACAGAATGTTGAGCATGTTTTTAGGAAATGCTAAAACATCTCTCATTACATGCAAAAAAAAAAAAAAAACCTGTGCCACTAACGGTGTGCAGCATGGGGACAGGAGAGTGAGTTGTAATGGGTAAATCAGGCTCATGTTAAGGCACAAATGATCTCCCAGTTCAACAAGCAGCCAGCTGATAAAACTTGCTGAAGAGTCAAACACGTCTAAAAAAAAAATAAAAAGAGTTCATCTTCCTGGAGGCTCTCTGGTGCACACTGTGATCACTGTGAAAAGATAATTATAACAAACATAATCTGATGTGTGACACTTTCATGCTTCAGTATAAAGCTCTCCTCTTGTGGCCTCCTCACGTACGGAGATAGACATGGAGGTTTACATCGCTATCGAGAGGTGAAATATATTGTCACAGATAAGACACGGCTGTTTGCTTCACTGGGACATTTAGCAATGCAGCAGCAGGCAGTCTTGCTTAATGTTTTTATCCAGTGCTTGACCAGAAATACTTTGCTGCTGCTATTTCTATCACTCTCTCTAATCTACAATTATAATCCACAGCTGAGTGCAGCATTGTTGCACTGATTTATTGGGTCATGGGTATTCTGAAGAATGCAGGAAATCACTTACTAAAGCAGAGTTACAGAAAAGAAAGCAGGTTGAAGGAATGTGGGTACTCATGACTTTTATCAAGCAAATCCATGGAAAAAGACACAGTGGCTGTAACACCGCTAGCTCCAACGTGTGAATTTGCAGCTGTAGTAAAGAAAAAAACTCAATATTCCTAAAGATAAGAAAAACAAGAGTACAGCCATGCTCACATCTCTTTAAGGCCCAGTATTGCTCTAAAATTATTGCTCATGTAATAATTAACATGCTAAAGTAACAGGAGTCATTTTTGCCATCCTGGAGTAGCGTGATAACTGATGATGTGCACGTTTACTCGACTAAATGTTCAAACTGAATTGCCCTTCTTGGATTATTAAAGTCGTCTAAATCTGAATCTATAACTAGTCGACACCCGAATTACTAGTTTGTTTAACTAATTATCATTTTTCTATGTAAGCCAACAATGCCGGTCAAATTCTGTGATCAAACAGGTATCCTGCCACCAGCTGGGGCTGTAGCTCAGATTAATCGGCCTGCATCGCGGTTTGGCAGGATTTTGATCTAGAAATGGAGTTACAAATGTGTGTAGACATGGGGCGCTGGTGGCGCAATGGTTAGGGTGCGCGCCCCATGTATGGAGGCTGTCGTCTCAAGCGGGCGGCCCGGGTTGACATCCCACCTGTGGCCTCCTTCCCGCATGTCGTTCCCCACTCTCTCTTCCTGATTTCTGACTCTATCCACTTTCCTATCTATTCATTAAAGACACAAAAAGCCCCCCCCCCAAAAAAATGTATGTAGACGTGTCAGGTTAAACTGGCATATCAGACGGATTATTAACCGTGACCACATTTAGCACAAGCATGTGGATGTTAACCGGAATGGAAGGGCCGAGGGCTGGCGGTGCCCTCTGCAAAACAAATGACTTTGTTTACCTGCAGACAATTTGAAATTAAGTTGTGCTCTATTTTGTTTTCTGAGTTTTCTTACTTGTGGACTGGTCGTTTAGTCTGAATTTAATTTCCTTTTAACCAACTGGGAAATAAGTCAACCAAGAACATCCCTCGTGATAACTAGCCAACATATCCTGAATAGAGATGAACACATTGAATTGGCTTATTGAATTTAGACGTGTCAACTGCTTTGGTTCATAACATAAGAATGAACAATTATGATTCTGGTGGCGTAGCCCTTTTTTCAATTATTTGATTTATTGTTGCTACAGTGGTGGCAGCTTAATGTGTGCAAAACAAATTTCCCCCAAAAGGACAACAAAGTGTATCATATCGTATCTTATTGTACAAACTTCATTTTGAGTTGAGCGGGTTGCTATGAAGTTAGTGAAGGGAATTCAGCAGGATTCATTATCTGGATGATGAGAGCATGACTGTATGTACAAAACATGCATGGCAACCCTTCTAATAGTTTTTGTGATATTTCAGTATACACTGAAATGGTCGACCATTGGACCTACAGTGGCAAACAACTTACCACACACAGACCCTCTAATTAGCCGTCTGAGATGGGGTTTATCAGGTAGATAGCGAAACTTGCACCCAAACACGCTGAGGTTGGATGTATGGTCCCCGAAAAACCTGAAAGCAGGAAGATTAAGATGAAATCAGATAGTCACATAAAAAGCTAGTCAGAGTTATGAAGTAACAAAAGGGGATTTTATGTTTTACCTCAGGTGTCGATAACGCTCTCCACAGCGGTAGCAGAAGTTAGTGCTGCACTGTGTACATGTCATATGGTCACATCCCTCTGTACGCTGAATATGGATCTACAGACAGAAAGAAAGAAGCAGAAAACAAGATGCAAAACAAAAGAGGGTTATCCACACATACAAAATTGTTGAGGATTTGCATGCTTTTTTTTTTTTTTTTTTTTTTATCTTTTAGCTTGGGCACCAATTGACCCTTGGTTGGCTCTCGATGGTCTGATGACTCACCAATCAGAGAGCCCCCTCTCATAGCAACTGTTGCTGGGCTACTTCTGGAACAACCTGGGCCAAGTCTTTTCAGTGAGTAGTGGTGAGATTGTGACCTTCATTTTGTTACTACAGTATGGTTTTTAAAAACATGGTGAAAAGGTGTGCTTGGGCTTGACAAAGGGTCAGTTTAAAAAAAACATGAATATGTTCTCAAACTTAAACTTTATACTTGCATTGTCATGTATTGTAAAACACTTACATTTCTTGTTTAACCAACACTCGAATGCAACACTAGCCATCTCTTTTTCAACATGAGCTTTTGGTTCAGCCTCTATAGAAGTTCACTGCACTCTATATGCAGCAGTAATCTTTATGAAGTTTGGCTTTTTGCCTGCTGTAGCAGTGAAAAGTCTCACTCTAAACTGGGCATTTAGTCCAGCTGCTCTCAGCCTCTTTTCCAGCTAAACACAGCATGACACCAATTTGTTGGCTTCACAGCCGAACAGGATCCTGTCTCCCTGCTGCCAGAATACAAACTCAGAGACATGGAGCATTAGGACAGTGAACACAGATGGAAAGTGTTTGCCACTGTCAGCAAACAGTTCCCTTGTACCAGTAATTAGCTTAATCTTTGGATGCTTTAGTCATCTTCTGACAGTCCAATGGGATACTGCGTGTAGACTAGTGTGCTCATAATGAGACTGTGAGATAACACATACCTCTGCTGCAGATTTTTGTGCAGCAGAGGTATCTTTTTTTTTTTCTTCTTCCCAATATGTTTCCCGTCGGGGCATCACCGCTCTGCTGTTCAACATGCACTTTAATAGTGTGTCCATCTACTTCTCTACAGCACTACATCCATCATGTATCCTTATTCCCATGCTTCTTAACCTTCATCGATTTATTCATCTACAGTGCTTTTACCCTCCATCAGTCAACAAACTTTCCAATTACACACACCCACCCTACCCTATCACAACAGTTTGTATCCTCCACAGTTCCCAGCTCTTACCCTGCACTGCGGACATTTCTGCGCATTCCTTTGTCCGTGCTCTATGACACTCGCCCAGCTTCGTAGCAGCTTGTCTCCTTTCCTGTATTCACGGCATTTTAAGCCATTATGCCAGGGCGCGTGGCACTTAAAGCACCACACGAACTGGCAATTGCTACACTGGATCTACAGAGGGGACAGAAGACGGTAGACAGAAGCTTATGTAATTTTAACATATCACATTTTTTCGGTATTTTTCTGGTGTGTTTGAGGTACGTGTCATCTCACCTTGTATCTGTACTCGGAGCGGCTGTGGTTGTGTTCCTTCAGCATGGTGAACTGGCTGCACTGGGGGCAGGGTTTGGTGCTGGAGTCCAGCTGACTCAGCTCCAAAAAGTAACGATATTTTGCCAGATCTTCGATGGCTAGATGGGAAACCACCGCCCCCTCCTCCAGGTAGCCGCTGCACTCTGAGATTGGACAGCTGATGTCAGATTTTGCTATTCGCACCTGAGAGAAAAAAACACAGAAAAAACAACTATATGGAAACAGCATACTGTGACAGTCCTCACTCAGATATATGAGTCAGGGTCTTATTACTACCAAAATGTACTTGTGAAAAAAAGACAAACCACTAAAGGGTTAATGGTCACTTCCTTCAGGGCCTGCCATCTTATAACATTCAAACAGGAAAAAAAACAACTATTGCACCTCTCGCTATTTCATAATCTTACACTTTGTTATATAACAATACAAACTCTGTCACTGAGTTCACACCTGGGGTCAATAAAAGTAATTTAAGTGTGTGCTCAAATGACCTAAGAGAATCAGAAGATGCTTACAGACACTGTGAAGTTTGTTCTTTGGTGTCTTTTTCACCATCTTTTTCCTTTCTGTTTTTGTCTTCTTTTTCTCACAGGGCATCTCTTCTTCTCTGGTTCCCTTCTCTCTTTTTCTTACTTATAACATAGAGCCATTCTGTCTCATCTTCTCAATCGCCTCACTTTCAGTCCATCAAAGCCAGTGAGACCAGTTGTACTGACACATGATAAGGCCTTATGTCTGTGTGCGTTTGTTGGAAAAAAAAAAAAAAAAAGTGTCGCGTTGACAACAGACAGAAAGCAAAGAACAAAAGCATCAGCCCTTTGGTGATGTTACACCCAACATCCCCTACAGCACGTGCGCACACACACTGATTCTCTCACACTCTCTCTATCTCGCGCACAGAGTAAAAGTCTATTGTGTGATAATGATAACGTATCCTCTTCTTTAGAGAGCCGACGTGTTAGTATTGTTGCCACAACACTGACGCTGTGATGACCACTGCCAGACAGGTTTGACGGGTTAACACTGCTGATCCTCTATTTTTCTACCACACACACGTCACTGTTTGTGGTGTGTCTAAAACGTGGGTAACTTTTCCTGCATTTTCTCACAGTCATAAGAAATAAAACACAAGCCGGGCAACATGATCATAACAATCAAATACTTAAGCGAGAAAATATTATATGTTTGTCTCAGGACTGCGGTGGCTCTAAGCTCATTGAAAACGACCGGGAGTATTTAGTGTCAGTGTGTAGTAACATTAAAGTTCATTAAAGTTCAGCTTGTTGAAGGTGTTGCCTATTTGCTGCTAAACTCAGCCTACAATATAATTAAAATTAGAAAACAATTAGGATGACAAACTAAGTGTATATTTTACAAAGTAAAACATGCTACTTACAGTAACAGATAATTAGTTACATGTATTAGCTAAAAGGAGAACATACTTTGTTATCTAATAATAACAATATTAAGAATTTTAAATGTAAGCTTGAAAAAGGCTAAATGGATAAATATAGGAAGAGAGTTAGCATGAAGTAATGATAGACACTTGACAAAAAAAAAAACGGCAGTATAAATGTTTAACAAATAAGCTAAAGATAACGGCTAAGCAGCAGAACTAAGGTCAGCTAGCAAGAAAATGAATCCAAAAGGTTTTTTAACAGCTTTAAGTAAAGAGAAACAGTTTGGATTAGCAGGTAAATCTACAATAAGGACAAACAGTTCAATGGTTTTCTCAAAGACATGAATTATAAGTTATCTCATAGAAGGGCTAACAGGTAAAAGGTTGACCTATAAAATGATAAATCTGAGGTTTGATACAGTTTGATTTAAGCAATGCAGAAATATTTTAGATAATTAGATTGATGAGCAGCTCAAATAATGCAAACAATAAATGAATATCTAAATATTATCTCGAATTAATGAATGACAGCTTCTGCTACTCATTTTATTAGAAAAGCAAACTATTTGAGATAAATAAAAACTGTACGAAAGAAACGTTTTAACAAGATCAATTTACAGTCAAGGTCTTTTGTAACATCCAAATTTAAATCCAATGATAATTGTACTATTGATATAAACGGTTTTAGGCTATGCTGACAAGCAAGTCAACAATCAGCTAATCTAACAAGCTTATCAACTATTCAGCTACTAAACTCCTTTATCTGTAGTATAGACCAAACAATGTCTCTTGGATTTCAGGAGCATCAAATCAAAATTAAAACTGCTGGTTATGATCCAATCTGTGCCCCCTGGCTTGCTTACTGTATCTATTCACGGTTAAAATCAAGCGTGTGTGATCAAAGAAGTTTGCAGCTCATTAACGGAAAAACATTCCACTGACACAAGATCATTTACACTAGTGGGTCTCAACTGGTGGGTTGGGGAAGCCAAAGTGAGCCAGGGAGTTGTATTAATTGGGTCCTGAATAAAAAAAAATATGTCAAAAAGTCTGCGAAGCATGTTTTAAACATTGATCTTTCACATGTGTTGTACCGTCTCAGGTCCAAACTGCACGCTTTTTCATTAAATCAATCAGATTGGTTGAAGTGTGGGTCGCATTTTTCATGAAGGAGATGGTGGTGGGGTCTTGAGGCTATACCAGTTGAGAACCTCTGGTTTACACAACCCTTCTCGCTGTTCTTATCAGAGTCTGCTTGTCTCTGTGTTGGTATGCTTATCAGTGCTCTCTTATCAAAGCAAGATCATTGCAGATAAAAAAATAAAAAAAAACTGTCTGCATGTCTAATAAAAGCGGTTTTATCCAAACAGATAATAGCAACAGTAGCAAGGGCCTCAGATTGCAACTCCTTCCCAAAATCTCCCCCATTCACGACTAACAGGGGCAGCATGCAGCATTATCAAAACCAGGATTATGATCAGGAGTTTGCTGCCTGGTGCCAGTTCATTTACCCGACTATTAAAAGTCCTGAAACATGTTGGATTTGTCGAAGAGTTGTCTAAGGTCGGCAATGTCTCTTTCATTTCTTGGTCTCTAGCAGCTCAACTGAGATAATGCTCGTACATGTGTCATCCATCCTTTGTTTATTTCCTTTATCTTGAAGTTTAAGTCACCACTCAAATTCCTGAAACAATGCCCTCATTAAGCTCTTTGTGTTTTTGTTTTTCTAAACCACATTAGGACAGCTATTGTAAAAGAAGCTGGTGGGTGCCTCTACACAAGATAGTACGTGTCCCTGTTGTGACCGACTTTTTCTGAAAAAATTAATTTGCTAATGTGCCTCGCTCTCCTGTTAACCTGAAAGACTCAGCCATATTTTCTGGCATGAAGTGGAGAGAGCACATTAGTCCACTTCCAGCTGCTCTGCGCTGGCTTCCTGTAACATTTAGAATTGATTTTAAAGGCATCCTTCTAAAACACAAAGCCTTTAATGGACTAAGGCCAAGCTGCAATGATAACATCCTGATTTACTGATCAAGAAAGAAGTGATCTTTAGCTGCTGGATTACTGGAAGTTCCCAACAACAGCCAAAAGCAAGTGAGGGATAAAGTTTTTGTTGATTATGTCCCTAAAGCTCTGAGACACACTACCTTGAGTTATCAGGGGAGCACATTCTTCGAAAATTAAAGCTAAAAACATAAATGTACTCTTACTTCTTTTGTGTCTTCTGCTTTCACGACCTGATATAGGATTTTTAAAAACTTGTTTTAACTTGCTCTGCTTTGCTCTACTCCTCTTGTGATGGATGGAAAATGACTCATTCAACCTGATTGTCTTTCTTCTTTTTTAAGCAGCCTATAGCTATGTCCTTATTATAGGCACTTTGAGCATTTTGATGGATGAAAGGGTAATTACAAATCAAGTTTAATATTTTCTAATGAATAAAAAGCTTGAATTGGAAAGTGTCTGAAAGCGATTGTAACTTGAATGGATGAGCCATAACTAAGGAAACCCTGCTAAATAAACAAAACAACCAACAAACTGAGCCATTATGAAAACCAGCCTTTTCCTGAGAGATTTCAGTGCAGAGGATGGCGTGTTTTGGCATAGTGACAACACTCTGTGTCAAATTGTGCTTGGCCACATCCTGTTGAAGATATATATATTTTTTTTAACAGTTCCAAGAATTTCTAGTCATGCCTCTGCCTTGAGGAAGATAAGATGCCAAACATAACACATAACAAGGTGTGAGAGGGGAGAGAGTTTGTGTTTAAAGGTCTGGGTGTGTGTGTGTGTGTGTGTGTGAGTGTGTTTGTTTGATGACTCCTCTTGTCAGCTGCTGGCTGACCCAGCAACGATGTCTTATTGTGGGGAAAGACTAAACCTCAGCCCTGTGACACCCTGCTGCACTTTACAATCCTCCCCACCCAGCACCCCCACCTTTTGCTCTCCCTCCCTCAGAAACCAACCTGGGAGGTGACGTAGAGCTTCAGACACTCATCACACACGGCCTTCCCGCAGCAGGGCAGGGGTGCGATGGATTTACCTTCCAGGCACACCCGGCAGCTCTGCAACGTCGCCTCTGCACCGGACTGCGCCGCCGACACACGGTGGTGGGCAATATCTCCGAAAGGGTCCACCAGGTCGTCCAGTGTGTACAGTACCGGTTCTGGATTCGAACCCATGTCCTGCCCTGCATCCGAGTCAGTTTCTGCAGCATCAGACGTGGCCGTGTCATCGTCTGTGATTTGAACGTCTCTCCGGTGTTTGTCGTTCGCTATACAGTACACAGTGCAGTAGATGTGTTCTTCTTCGTCATTAAAAGACTCATCACCGTCACCTTTGTGTCTACCCTGACCTGTGACAGTAACAAATTCAACTCCTTGCACGTCCAAAGTCGTCAAGTCACTCAAGGTGGGCTCGTTTTCCGTCCCGGCGTCGCCCGTTTCACACTCTGACTTTTTACACTCGCCGTTTTTACCGGCGGGATTACCGCTTCCCTCGGTGCTGCCGTGTTCGGCGCCGCGCTGCATCCGACTGTTTGTGTTTAGACGAAGAGAGGGGGATTTAGAAACCCCGAAATTCCTCCTCAAAATCTCGACGGCGCTCGCCCTCCTCCTCTCTCCTCCTCCTCCTCCTCCTCCTCCGTTGCAGTTGTTGTTGTTGTTGCCCTTCGCATCCTTCCCCTCCTCGCCGCTGCTCTCCCCCGCTGCATGCCCCTCACCTCCGCCCAGCGACACCCGGGAGTTTGACCTGGTGACGCGGCGGCTCAAATCTCTGACCGGCCGCTCAACTTTGCCGTCGGTGAAGGAAGTTTCCGCCGGCAGGTTGCGGGACAATTTCACCACCTTCCCTTCCTCGAAGCCGCCGATGAAACTCGGCATTTTCCTGGCGTTAGGTATCAGGTCGTCATCGTCCATCCCCGGTATGGTTCTCCCCATTTAGTGAAGGGGGTCCCTCGCCCGAACGGACCTCCTTTGCCTGGACCTGTCCGCTTTGCACTTCTCCTATCCTGACTCCTACTACCAAAACAAAACAAAGCAGGACGGAGGCTCGGTGCTTCCGGGTGTTGTCGTCAGCGTGAAGGAGAGCAGTGATAGGCCGAGGAGAAGCCTAGAGGAGCGCAGCACTGACAGATGGGCAGCAGAAGCAGACAACATATGGCAATAGATAGAAAATGATAGCAAAGAAGATTTTTAACACCACGATAGTGCCCATGTCTGGATTATCAAACAACGGGCGAATAGGGCATTTTTTAGGGGATTTCTTTTGCAGCATTAAAATGATTTGTATTAATTATTATTATCTTGTCATTCTCTTCAAATACTGTCTCAATTCTCAATTCCCCCCAGTTAACTTCAACATTCATTTTTGTACTGTATATACCCCCTGTTTTTATTTTTTATTTTTATTTTTATTGTGTATTTGAGCTTTCTTGTCTGTGCTGCTGTAACGCCCGAATTTCTCCTCTGGGGATCAATAAAGTACTATCCTATCCTATCCTATCCTATTAAACTTTATCACCTGGTCTTAAGGTTCGTCTTGAGAATAGCTCCCGTGTCAAATCTCATCAAGACCCCCTTAAAAAAATGTCTGTTTCCTAGGCCTCTTGATGGCAAATAAGCTGCATTGTTGTTGTTTTTATAATAAGCAATTGTTTTCAAAATGTATATGAATGAGACATGTCCAAGACTTTTAAACCATGCAAAGTTATTCAAAATTAAAGGGGCCTCTTTAAGGGGTCCGCTTTGCTCAGGAGCATGGACAGAACTAGGTTATAATACAATGCAAATTCGGTTAACCCAAAAAAAGGTTAGTGCAAGCAATACTCATTTATTTTTTTAAAGGTAATTTTACCTGGAGCTTTTAGCCACATCTAAATGAACATGCAGCTGGCTGTCCTCAGTCGACTTAAACTGAACTCACCCATGAAGTGATTGTGCCAACTGAGCAGACATTATCTGTTCAAGATAACCTTGAGATGCTAATAAAAGTCGAAGGATTTCAAAGAAAAAGTATTTTCCATTTCACCACAACAATTCAAACAAGCACACCCACGCATGCACACAACTTTTTAACACAAGGTTGTTCACATCTCATTGGTATAATGTTTTTCATTTTTACCACAGTTTTTTTTGTCAATAGTCCATTTTCGTTGCAGAAAATTTGTCTCATCACATAAGAAAAGTAGCAGGTGAGACACATTTGTTAGCAATGGCTCTGGTCCATCAATGGTCCCAGAGATTAAATAACCATTATAGCAGACCAGCCAGTCTATATTGAATATTTAGTAAAATGTGCTATAACTGGCAGGGGAAATTGTTTCAAGCCCATGTGTTCTTCATCTACTTAAATAAATGATTGAAGTTATATGATTAGTGCTATTTGTTCCAAATATTATGTTATAACTGTTAATAGATGTATAATGACTTTAAGTTCCCTCCAGTCGCCTTTATAGTCGTCAGATTGCCACTTCAATTACTATTGGTTGTAGTTATGAAGTAAAAGCAGGCTATTTAAAAAAAAAAGATTTTAGTTTTATTACTTTTTACTGCATCACACACATAATTCTTGAATGATGTTCATAAAATAGTGCCTTTAACTGAAAAGCATGTCACTTGGCCAGTGAGAATGACACTTAGTGACAATTAGTTTGCTTGTCCCGGCTGTGCCCAATAGGTTTTAGTAGAGAATGCCAACAATGTTAAAAAGCCTCTACCAGCATGAGTGTAAGCTTATTGAAAGCACGTAGAAAGAAAAGCCATCAAACACTTTCTGAAGTGTGCTGTTGTACATTAAACGTTAAAAAGTGGAGATGCTCTGCAGGCTACAAATAAAAATTGTGATGTGTGAAGCGAACTAAAATAAAAAGTCATGAGGGATTTCAACTTTGCCCTGAGCAGTCTTTGAAGATCCAGTTTTAGTTTGAGCATATTTCAGTTAATGTAGGAAGTGCATTTTCTTCTCAACTCAAACATTTTACAACACTTAGGTTAGAACCCCTCCCACCCCCCCAAAGAAAAAAACCCAAAAGACATAACCCAGCCTGTGAATAGCCTATATTTCGTCATTCACATGATATATGTAGCAATTGTATTTTCTTGTGGCCATAAAAAGTACAGAAAGTGATGTCTGAATGGTGTCAGAGACAAGTGGACACAGTATAGACTCTTCCTTCTCCAATAAGGTCAACTTTATTCCCAACCTTCTACTTTATGTACAGTCAGTCAAGTGTGCAAAAACCATCATAAAAAGAGAAGGGCTTAATCAAACATATATGATTCCAGTCACAAGTGAACGTCAACCAATCAAGCCAGAGCCACAGAGAGTTCTGATAACTGTTTTCATGGGCAGTTGGCGACATGTTTCTGTTCTGAAAATGTTACATGATTATGCTCCTCCGGCAGAACTTCCTTGAATTTATTTTAATTTGATTTAGTTTAGTTTTAAATCTTATTGAACAACAATGAAAGGAAAGTAAAATTGATAAGCACTGGATGATCTGTAAACAGCTGCTTATGAAGTAGCTGATCTGTGGAGTAGCTCAAGGCTTTGTCCTTGGTCCTATACATTTCTTTTGTGTGATGGGTTTTCATATTAAACTCATTGTACATCGTTGACCATTCTAAAAGACCTTGAAAAGAACTGTGTGCACTGTGAATGCAAACATGTGTTTAGTATCTTATTAGTATCGTATTTTGGAATAACTATAACTTTATACTCTTGCCACAACTGTAAAGCCTCGGAGTTGCTTTGTTAAATTTAAGGAGTTAATTCTAATTTTACTATAGATTCTGAACTCAACAATGTCTTGACTGAAGGTTTGCCACTACATAATAATGGCTTGACCTCAGCTAACTGCCTATGTTTAACTGTCTATGTACAGATTTGCATTCTTAGAACTTCAGACAAAATCTCTATTTACTGTTCCAAAGTCTAAATGTGTTCAAGCAACTGTGAAGATAAGGACATAACTATGTACATTCTGTCTTAATTATTACTTAAAATAGATTTTATCACTGTGTTTATTGCTGTTTGTTAAATAAATATGAGTTCACCTTCAATTCCCCTCAGTTTATTATTCTGTTGAATTGTGGCTTTGCAGGTTCTGAGTTGAGTGTTGTTCAGTTCACCATGACAGAAGTACAATGTACTGCAGTACAAAGTCTAAAACCCACTCACACACACAAACACAAATACTTGCATACGCCAGGCTCACATTATATCTCTGAAATTCCTACAGATTTTTTGAGTAATTCTTAATTTTTTTGTACCTTCCAGATTGGTGTTCAGGTTGCTATTGGTTTAACCCTGTCAGATAATTGAATATACTGACTCCACTAGAGGCAAATAAATAAACAATCCATTTCAAATTGTTTTATTTGTGTGAGACATGACCCACTATCTGTTTTCCATTAGGTCTTACAAAGAATATGTTTTTTTTTGTTTGTTAACTGCATGGTTCCTGATTAAAATGTTTGGACTTTATCTCATCATTGTAATTATTTGAAACTAATATGTGGTGTAGGTTGATAATTTCAATTAATAGTGTAAACTTGGTTATTTGCTAAAGTAAAACTGAAATCACCTTCTTGACACATGATAGAATTAAAGACTATAGTGCAACTAGTTCTCTGTCCTCCCACTCTCCTCTAACTCTCTCATGTCAAATACACTGTACAATTAGAAGAATTAAAACATAGTAGTCCCACTTGTACACAACATCATACATTAGTAGTCAACTAGAAAAACAGTAAACACGACCACATGTGATTAAAAAACGTCTAGAAGTTCAAAGTTACATTTCATCGTTTTACATGTAGTAGCGTATTTTATCTCCTTTACTCGGCAGACATTTCAGACTGTTATGTATAGAAAAATCACAAAGTTCACATTTAGGACTCTTCCAAGAGAGCTGAGGAGCATTCAACAAACCAAACAGTTCCCGTTTTAAGTAGCTAGTTAGTCACACGCGGCATGAGATTAAATACGCAACAGTTTGGAAACACCTCATGCAAACACACAGAACATTGTTTCTGTCCTTCAGAGCCGCGGGGCAGCGACTCTGAATGTAACCCAAAGAGTTTTGTTGAGAGTTGCTAATAGGGGAGGAGGGTGGACTTTGGGATCAGCTTGCAGAGGGGAATAGTCCATCCTTATGTAAAGAGAAGCCGGGGGTTTCAAAAAAAAAAAGGCCCTTGGTTGACTGAGAAGGCCTCAATAGTTTGGTCCGGGGATTGCAACTCAAATGCAACATGTTTAAACACAATTCCAGAAGAAGTAAAAAAAAAAGAAGCTTTTTCCGAGCAAATTAAAAAGAAAACTTGTTTGATGCCTGGAATGCAAAAGATTTTTTTTGTGGTAAAATCTTTTCTTTTTTTCTTACATGGGAACCCAACAAAAGTAAACCTGTGGTAATCATCACTTTTGGTCTAGTCTGTGGTTCTACATATGTCCATGTGGTGTTTTAGTTGGCACTTTCAACATTAAAATTCAGGTAGCTGCTGAGTCTCTGGCATCTCTTGGTTAAAAACTTGTCAATGTTATTCTGGTACAGTCAACTGCATCCGACAGATACCGTCATTACTGAAGATTCCGCCTCTGTGATTTCAAATCTTCCTCTTTCACCATCTTTTTCCATCATTCAAAACAATAAATAATTAATCAAATAATTTAACCTAGATGTTTCTGACTTGACGAAGACCGCCATTTGTCATCTTTTTTATCAATTTTCTTACAACAAATGCCAATTCACGACAAAGACTCAGGCCACTTTGACTTTGATTGTCATTTCTGTGTAGGCTGAGTTTTTTTTCCACTTTTTCTAACCTGCTGAAGACTTTAAAGTATTTCTGTTATTAGGAAGAGGTGGATGCTTCAGATTGAGCTGTTAGGGCATTTGATCTGACCTTCAGCTGTTTATTTATAAATCAGAAAAAGAGGAGATGGGCGAGTGACAGCAGAAGCGTCGAAAGGTCAGAGGAGGATAGAAACTATTTACTGATCTCAACCCCCTCTTCTGCTGCTGCTTCCTTTTCATATTCTGTCTTTATAAACATCTTCTGGCCT